CCCTCGAGTATCCGATGGAGAGTATAGAGCTGGTCCAGTGTTCCGCGACCGGGACGAAAACCACACTGCTCCTCCTGGATCCGAGATTCGACCATCGGCCGTAGCCTCCTCTCCAGTACCTTGGAGTAAACCTTACCAGGGAGGCTGAGGAGTGTGATCCCACGATAATTGGAACACACCCTCCGGTCCCCCTTCTTGTAGAGAGGGACCACCACCCCGGTCTGCCACTCCATTGGCACCGCCCCCGATCGCCACGCGATGTTGCAGAGACGTGTCAGCCAAGACAGTCCTACAACATCCAGAGACTTTAGATAATCAGGGCGGATCTCATCCACACCCGGAGCCTTGCCACCATGGAGGCTACCAACCACCTTGGTGACCTCAGCCAGGGAGATGGATGTATCCGCCCCAACATCCTCAGCCTCTGCCTCTGAAACAGAGGACGTGACGGGGGGATTGAGGAGAACCTCAAAGTATTCCTTCCACCGCCCGACAATATCCCCCGTCGAGGTCAGCAGCTCTCCACCCGCACCGTACATGGTGTTGGCAAAGAACTGATTCCCCCTCCTGAGGCGCCGGACGGTTTGCCAGAATTTCTTCGAGGCCGACCGATAGTCATGCTCCATGGACTCTCCGAACTCCTCCCAGTCCCGGGTTTTTGCCTCTGCAACAGCCCGGGCCGCGGCACGCTTGGCCTGCCGGTACTGGACAGCTGCCTCAGGAGTCCCCCGAACCATCATGGCTCGATAGGACTCCTTCTTCAGCCTGACAGCATCCCTTACTGCCGGTGTCTACCACCGGGTTCGGGGATTGCCGCCGGGACCAGCACCAGAGACCTTGCGACCACAGCTACGAGCCGCCGCATCGGCGATTGAGGCAGAGAACATGGTCCACTCGGACTCCATGTCCCCCTCCTCCACCGGGACCTGGGAGAAACTCTCCCGGAGGTGTGAGTTGAAAGTCCGTCTGACAGGGGGCTCAGCGAGACGTTCCCAGCAGACCCTCACTATACGCTTGGGTCTGCCAGGTCTGACCGGCTTCTTCCCCTGCCAGCGGATCCAACTCACGACCAGGTGATGATCGGTTGACAGCTCCGCCCCTCTCTTTACCCGAGTGTCCGAGACACGCGGTCGAAGATCAGATGATACGACAACAAAGTCGATCATCGACCTCCGGCCTAGGGTGTCCTGGTGCCACGTGCACTGGTGGACACCCTTGTGCTCGAACATGGTGTTCGTGATGGACAAACTGTGACTGGCACAGAAGTCCAACAACTGAACACCGCTCGGGTTCAGGTCAGGGGGGCCGCTCTTCCCGATCACCCCTCTCCAAGTGTCACTGGCGTTTCCCACATGGGCGTTGAAGTCCCCCAGGAGAATAACGGAGTCCCCGGGCGGTGCACCGTCCAGTACCCCTCCCAAGGACTCCAAGAAGGCCGGGTACTCTGCACTGCCGTTAGGCCCGTAGGCCGTCACAACAGTGAGAGACTTGTCCCCCACCCGGAGGCGGAGGGACGCGACCCTCTCATTCACCGGGGAGAACTCCAACACGTGGCGGCTGAGATGGGGGGCAATGAGAATAGCCACCCCAGCTCGCCGCCTCTCCCCGCGGGAAACACCAGAAAAGTGGAGCGTCCAACCCCTCTCAAGGAGTTGGGTTCCAGAGCCCAAGCTGTGTGTGGAGGTGAGGCCGACTATCTCTAGTCGGTATCGCTCAACCTCCCCCACAAGCTCGGGCTCCTTCTCCCCCAGTGAGGTGACGTTCCACGTCCCAAGAGCTAGCTGTTGTGTGTGCGGACTGGGTCGTCGAGGTCTCCGCCTTCGACTGCTGCCCAGTCCTCTCTGCACCATGCCACCACGGACCCCTCTGCAGGTGGTGGGCCCACAGGAGGGACTGCCCACGTCGTCCATTCGGGCTGAGCCCGGCCGGGCCCCGTGGGCTAAGGCCCGGCCACCAGGCGCTCGCCTACGAGCCCCGACCCCAGGCCTGGCTCCAGGGTGGGGCCCCGGCTGCGCCATGCCGGGCGACGTCACAGATTTCATGTTTTTGCCACTCTCAACATGATTCAATAAAATGCAGAATGAGGAGCAGTGGGACAGGCTTCCTGCTGGTGCCCAGAGTCAGAACTAAACATGGGGAGGCAGTCTTCCTAAAAATGTGAGACAGGCTTTTTATCTGAAAGTGTTAAAATTGAGGTTAAAAACAGTTCTGTTAGCTGTGCAGTGATTATTTATGATTTGAATGCCGTGTGTGACTGTCTCTATCTTGTTTTGTTTAGCGCTTTAAGAGTTGCCTTGTCTATGGATTGTGCTATACAAAAAAACTTGCCTAGCCTTGCCGACAATTTCTGCAAAGTACCATAAATGAGTTGAGCTACAATATTTAGCAGAAGAGCACAAATGTCCGTGTCCAGTTTGTGGCTCGCGTCCATCTGTGGCCTGCTGCTCAGAGGCATTAAGGATGTGTCATACCAGCTGCCACCAATCTGAGTTTCACTATTTTTATGTATTTTTTCACCCTAAAGGTCACTGCAGATTAAAGTGCGTTTGTGAAGCAAAGCAAACTATGACAGAACAGCATTGCTCATGTTTTGGTGCTGATGAAAAAGTATTAAAAGTCAGAGTATAGTAGTAAGGGTAATGTTTGTGATGTCATTGAAAGTAGGAGACAAAGTGCTAAGAAGAATCCTGGATTAAAACAACAAAATTGGGGTTATACTGTACCAGTGGGGGCGGGTCCTGGCTCAAAAGTGGCCAAAATGACGTGCGCTGACATGCTTGCAATACCACCCCAGGCCGATGGGGGTGGACCCGGAATAAGAATTAGCCAATGCTAACATATAGCATTGGCAGACCTCTCGAAAACGTCTTTACAGGATGGACCAGAAGTCGACTCTTGGCCCAAAGCTCCATGTGTGTCGATGCTGAGGGGGGTGAATTTGTTTGGACCACTCTGGTTTAGTTGCTGTGAATTTTTGAAGTAACTCGTTTAAATGAATGGGGCTCGTGCCGGCTGGCGCGTTCACAGATGCGCTTTTTCACATTTTCCAGCCCCCACTGCCATTTTGAATCACTCCATGAGAGCCCAATTTTTGACCCATAGGAGGGAGGCATGACCACGTCCGTTAACATATAAAGTCTATGGGTTATACTAAATTATTATACGGCTCCTCACAGCAGCAGTAGAATGCTCCATTGATTTGAATGTAATTTCAAAACGTTCTACCGGTCATTATTTTCTATAACGGACCTCTCAAAACAATAATGACCTCTCTGCTTGTCTTTCAAATGCGTGGATAACTCCGCAAGTAGTTCCGGCCACTCCGGAGCTAGCCACGCTCAATCAACACACTTAAATGTTAATCGGAGAATACTTATACATATACATTCTTCACACACGTGCACAGAAATTTTCAGAATTTTCTGGTCTTGTCTTCATGACAAAAATATTATTTCTCTGCGTCAAAAAGCGATCGTGAAAAACCCGGAAGTAGTTCTGGCCGCTCAATAAACGCAAATGCCAATCAATCAACGCAATGAAATGTTAATCGGAGAGTAATTTATACATATCCAGTCTTAATACAAGTGCACGGAAGTTTTCAGAATTTTCCGTTTACGTTTTCATGACAAAAACACTGATGTAATGCGAGAAAAGGCGATCCCGAAAAACCCGGAAGTAGATACCGGCACATTTTAAGATACCGGCACATTTTCGGACACATTTGCAGAGGATCGAATTATGGATTTAGGTTAGGTTTATGTATGGGTCACTCACCGCTGATGTTCAGAATTCTTTGTTCAGTTTTCATGCAGTTCCAGAGAGTTCTAGTTTGGAAGTTGCCAGCCTAACTGTTGCCCGCGGTTGCCGAGCAACGGGAACACTTTTTTGGACTACTTTATTTGTTGTCATTAAATAAACTTTTGGCATTCATAAAAGTGATCTGAAGTTTATTTTGTGTGTTAAGTTGGTACAAAGCAGTATAATAAGCGGGATAATGTATAGCCTACAGGTCATTATCGGAAAATAAGTACCTTCAGGGCGGAAGCAGACCCCTCCGCTGCGCGTCGGGGTCCGCTTCGCCCTGTCGGTACTTATTTTCCGATAATGACCTGTAGGCTATACATTATCCCTTACTTATACTGTATCTTCAATCTCTGGAGGATCAGAATATAATGGTTCAAGGACTTTATTAAACAGTATCTCAAGAAATAACAAACAAACATATACAATAAACAATAAATAAAATAAACACTTTCTTTCTCATGGATACTACATTTTGTTTGTCCCAATAGATAAGTCCTGTCAAAGTTAAAATGCTCAACAAATCAAATCTAATTACAAAGGGTCATATATTATTCATACTTTTAAGAAAGAGCCCTGTGAGTCACTATTTGACACTTTGGGGTGAAAGCTGATTGGGTGAGTCCTTTATTTAAAGATGTGACAGAGGGTAAAAATATAGCTTGTGAAAACTTGTGATAGAACAAACCGTTTTGAGAGTAATTTTGTACAGCCCTAGATCCCAGCAGTAGTCATCACGGAGGACTTTACAAAGTTATCGATCCACCAACACAGATCAGAGAACCAAACAAACTAGTACACATATTTTTATTAACCCTTTAATGGTTTCCTCAACCATTTTATGGATCACCTTTCGAGTGACTATACTGTATCTACTTGAAGCTTGGAATTAAAATCGACCTCTATCCTTTTACCATAAAACTGCATCTTAACCATTTTGTAGTGGCCTATAATTCAAAACTAAGGGTTAAAAAAAACTAGGGGTTGATGTTACAGCAAAAAAAACAGAGCAACAGTTATTTTAAGTGGCGTAAAACAATCGCAATCATGAGGTAACAGTCAATCAATAAGAAATCATTTGTTGAATGCCATATATTTGTGTTATCAATACAATAACATAGATACAAATGTACATTGTTTTCTTCAAGGAGTGAACATTAAAGAAATAAATACATCCATTTTGAGCTAGCATTGAATTCTCAACTTGCTCCCTCCAGAGCAAACATATCCATATATTCTGCATCAGTGTGCGGAAACAGCAGGGACAGCAGAGACAGCAGGGACAGCAGAGACAGCAGAGACAGCAGGGACAGCAGAGACAGCAGAGACAGCAGGGACAGCAGAGACAGCAGAGACAGCAGAGACAGCAGAGACGGCAGGGACAGCAGGGACAGCAGAGACAGCAGAGACAGCAGAGACAGCAGGGACAGCAGAGACAGCAGAAGCAGTAGGGACAGCAGAGACAGCAGAAGCAGTAGGGACAGCAGAGACAGCAGAAGCAGTAGGGACAGCAGGGACAGCAGAGACAGCAGGGACAGCAGAGACAGCAGAAGCAGTAGGGACAGCAGAGACAGCAGAGACAGCAGAGACAGCAGGGACAGCAGAGACAGCAGAGACAGCAGAAGCAGTAGGGACAGCAGAGACAGCAGGGACAGCAGAGACAGCAGGGACAGCAGAGACAGCAGAAGCAGTAGGGACAGCAGAGACAGCAGAGACAGCAGAGACAGCAGGGACAGCAGAGACAGCAGAAGCAGTAGGGACAGCAGAGACAGCAGAGACAGCAGAGACAGCAGGGACAGCAGGGACAGCAGAGACAGCAGAGACAGCAGAGACATCAGGGACAGCAGAGACAGCAGAAGCAGTAGGGACAGCAGAGACAGCAGAAGCAGTAGGGACAGCAGAGACAGCAGGGACAGCAGAGACAGCAGAAGCAGTAGGGACAGCAGAGACAGCAGAGACAGCAGAGACAGCAGGGACAGCAGAGACAGCAGAGACAGCAGAAGCAGTAGGGACAGCAGAGACAGCAGAGACAGCAGAGACAGCAGGGACAGCAGAGACAGCAGAGACAGCAGAAGCAGTAGGGACAGCAGAGACAGCAGAGACAGCAGAGACAGCAGGGACAGCAGAGACAGCAGAAGCAGTAGGGACAGCAGAGACAGCAGAGACAGCAGAGACAGCAGGGACAGCAGAGACAGCAGAGACATCAGGGACAGCAGAGACAGCAGAAGCAGTAGGGACAGCAGAGACAGCAGAAGCAGTAGGGACAGCAGAGACAGCAGAGACAGCAGGGACAGCAGAGACAGCAGAAGCAGTAGGGATAGCAGAGACAGCAGAAGCAGTAGGGACAGCAGAGACAGCAGGGACAGCAGAGACAGCAGAAGCAGTAGGGACAGCAGAGACAGCAGAGACAGCAGAAGCAGTAGGGACAGCAGAGACAGCAGGGACAGCAGAGACAGCAGAGACAGCAGGGACAGCAGAGACAGCAGGGACAGCAGGGACAGCAGAGACAGCAGAAGCAGTAGGGACAGCAGAGACAGCAGAAGCAGTAGGGACAGCAGAGACAGCAGAGACAGCAGGGACAGCAGAGACAGCAGAAGCAGTAGGGACAGCAGAGACAGCAGAAGCAGTAGGGACAGCAGAGACAGCAGGGACAGCAGAGACAGCAGAAGCAGTAGGGACAGCAGAGACAGCAGAGACAGCAGAAGCAGTAGGGACAGCAGAGACAGCAGGGACAGCAGAGACAGCAGAGACAGCAGGGACAGCAGAGACAGCAGGGACAGCAGGGACAGCAGAGACAGCAGAAGCAGTAGGGACAGCAGAGACAGCAGGGACAGCAGAGACAGCAGAGACAGCAGAAGCAGTAGGGACAGCAGAGACAGCAGAGACAGCAGAAGCAGTAGGGACAGCAGAGACGGCAGAAGCAGTAGGGACAGCAGAGACAGCAGAGACAGCAGGGACAGTAGGGACAGCAGAGACAGCAGAAGCAGTAGGGACAGCAGAGACAGCAGAAGCAGTAGGGACAGCAGGCCCCGTGGCATCGCTTGGCCTCTTGACACCTCTGGGTGCCTTGGCGCTCTATCACGTCCACCGCTGTGTGGCCTTTAATGACATTTGTTATGTTTTATTGTGTGTAAATAAACTTTGTGTGTGTCGCTCCACATGTGTCTATGTCCGGTGGCTTTTCCCGGTGCACCCCTGACCCTGACCAGGAGGAGGCTGAGTCAGTAATGGGCGAAGCGGAGACTCAGCCGGGGGAAAGGGCAGGGCAGCGGGGGACCAGACAACGGAGGTATTACTGAGGTGTGTGTGTGTGTGTGTGTGTGTATACGTGTGAGTGCAGCTAAATTAAACCGACTCTGAGCTTTGACCCGCACTAAACCATCGATATGACCAAACTTTTAACAGGCCAAACTTTCTTGTCTGCTTTGTTCACCTCTTTTACAGTTTGTTTGCTGTTATATTAAGAGTGGTCTCAACTTTGCCTGAGACTAATGTGGTAAAAGCAGGGAATATTTGAACTTATTTTATTTATTTGCTTTTATTTGAATGGGACAGTGCACGTTACTGAACAAAAACCAAACAACAGATCTATAAAATCCACATACAGACATAAAAAGGCAGACGTTAGTAAAAGCACTGCAATCATGAAATAACACATGATTTGTTGAGTGCCATGAAGCATCAGAGTTCGTTTACTTGTACTGTCAGTATATATCGTATAACATGTAGTAGAATTGCCTTATGTGTCCCATACTTTCATACGTGATTGGATGAATAGAAGGCATGATTTATTTATTTTTTCCTATGGGACTTTTCAGGGCAAAAAAGAGAAAAGCAAAGATTCTGTTGTATTTATTGTTGGGTTTTTACCTATTACAACATTTCTCCCTCATCAAAAAACAGACATAGAGCTTGTTTTAGCTACATTCATGCTAATATCAAATGTGGAACAGTTTAAAAGCTTAAACTTGTGAGAAATCTAAATCATGTAATTTTCTATTCGATCTAAAGCCAATTGTGAAATAGATCAAGTATAGTATTACAGAATATAAATCCATTTAGATACTGTTCTCTGCTATTCACCCATTGTCCCTTGTCCCATAAATTACTGAAAATTCACACTCTTAGCAAATGTTGAAAAAACACAATCATTTCTACACCCTAACCCTCTAGTGGTAGCTTCATACTTGCTTCACCATGGGGTTTTTTTACCGAACATATAACTTCACATTCTAAAACATGCGATGGCGAGATTTCTTTCCTCCTTATTAGAATAGATTATCTATTTCAAACCAACACAACAAAAATTTTCACATATATACCCATAACGACAAATACGTAGATAATTTGAAAAGGGGTTGGATGAAGCAAATGCCATATTTCGTTCACATTCCCATTATCATTCTTAAAGCCCAAAAATACTGCTTAATATTTAATCAATCATACATAAGTGGTATAGTGGACCACTTGAAATGACCCATGCTCTTTTGACTAAACGTCTGTAAGCTCCTCGTGAAACACCGGGACTGGAGAGAGGCCGAGGTTTGAGCGGAGGAGAATTAAAGGCTCATTCACAGCGTCTGTTTTCAGTATTCGTCCTCTAAATTGATTTTTGTTTTGTTGCTGCTGTTGTTGTCGATCGAGTCCGTGGAAGGAGAGCTGCGATAACGGTTTGCTGGCCAGGAGTCCCCCGTGGCCAATTTTCTCGCCAGCACAACAACGCTGTCGCAAATTAAACTGTCATAACGCCCATAACCACAATTAATGACCGAGATTAGGGCTCGAAATCTGCATTACTGAACACCTTTAGGCGCACACGACTTCTCCAACTCAGGACGAGGAGGAGAGGAGGAGGCCGAGGGTGAAGCAAGACGGGAGAGGACGAAGGAGCAAACAAAAGAAGGACATTGTATACATGGTTAGTAGAACTTGCACAATAGTTGATTCGAGTTGGTCAGTTCATTAAATTCAAAATAATGTGCAAACTTTAATTAAGCAAAACCCTGTCCCAATTCAGAATCTAATTTGACTGGAGGACGTACACGGGGGCTGGGTTGTCTAGACTGGCATGGCTTCTGCATTTTCTACTTTGAATGCAGTTTGGTGTCACAAATTATCCATTATTAGTATCTTAAATAATAATTTCACATCAACACTGCTATTTTTTAACTCATATTGGCAACATTTATTCGCCAAAGTGTCATAGATTGTATTGGGAAAAGTATTAACCAGAGGAAGGAGGATTCAAAAAGCAGGAATGCAAAAAAAAAAAAAAAAAATTACGTTGGTAAATAAAAGTCCAACGGAGAAAAAAAAACTCAAAATCCAAAGAGAACCAAGAACAAGACAGATGTGGACAATCGACAGGAAACCGAATTAAAACAAAACCACAGAGAACAGCACAACACAAAATAACACAAAATCCACACAATAACACTTAGAACCAGGAATCAGGAGGGAGGCTTTCAAAAAAGGAGAATCGAACCCACAACTAAACTAACGTAGTGTATAACTGAGAGAATGTACACATCAGGCAAGCTTCGACAACGCCACCTTTCCTCAACAACATGGTACAACACAAACACATTGAACACTGGGGAAATGGACCATACCAAGTTTAGATCAAGGGGGTGAATACTGTGGTGTGTAGCAAACCAACTGCATATCTTTACTATCTGACCAGATGTTTAAGTTTTCACACACACAATCAGTGATACCTGGCTTGAATGGATACGTGTGAGTATATATAACTTATTCAACAATTAAAAACCTCTGTGAAAAGACTGGCTTATACTGTTTTGATAACAATGTAGAAAGCAAAGTGCAGCATTTTTTAAACTCACAAGTAAAATATTCTTTGAAGGGAAACTGCTGATTTAGAGGCATTAGCATACAGCCTGTCTGAACAGAAATGAGTGAATGCATAAACAAATCAAAGTATTTCTCCAAAGACAATCTGTCGGAGGAACTACTGGCTGGACTTTAAAACAAAAACAAAGTCGTGAGGGTATTTCATCAACATTTTAAATATTGGGGACAAGAAGTAAATTTTTTCTGGTTTTATACAATAAAGACCATCTTAAATTATCATGACACACTGCTTTTATTTTGTCATTATTCAGAACCTATAGCTACAACCTTTCCGTGGGATGGAACATTTTGGAGGATATCACGCTCCCTCCTTCCTTCACTGTGAACCAGACACTGAGGACCTCTTCTCCCCCAAGAGAGAGCACCTTTCTCTGGTTGAAAACTATGACCTCATATTTGCATTTGCTGATTTTCATTTCAGGCTGCAAACCCTCCCAGTGCAGAATGGAAGTCCTGGTTTTGGTGAAGATGGATTTGAATCGAAAGGCAAAGCTCTCAATATAGCGTCGGTCTACGATCCCGATCTTACCGTGGTCATGACTCATTACCTTTGGGTAATGACCAAGAGAAAAGGATCACAGAGAGGCTGGCGCTCCCTTAGAGAGGGAGAAAGTTAAGCAGTTGATTCAATTCAATTCTCTTCGATGTATTCTTGTATATCCCTAAATCACAACAGTAGTTATCCCGGAGGACTTCACACAACCGTTGAATTCGCCAACACAAATCAGAAAATCCAACAGTTCAAACACAACAAATAGAACAGAAAACACACCGGTATAGGTCCATAACAGGCAGATGACCCATGTCCATAAGTGTTGATAAATGTTGTGGAATGTTGAGCGTCCTGGATCATCACCATTGATCCTCCTCATCAGAACATGTCAGCTGATGAAGTGTTTTGGATACTTCTTGCACCTCTCCTCTCGGGGGCGTTGTTCCGGGGATGTCCCACCAGGAGGAGACCCTGGAAAAGACCCAGGACAAACTGGAGGAACTATGTTGCTGGCCTAGGAACAGTCTGGCAGAGATGAAATTTAAGTCAAAAATTGCTAAAATTTGTTCAAATGTGTCTTCATTTGAGCACACTTGAAACAAGATTTGTAAATGGGAAAAAGCAAAATGATCTTGTTTTAAAAAGATAAAATGAATGTCTCCCGTGGATTGTCTAAATAAAGCAACAGTTCTTGAAATAAGACTAAATAGCTTTGTCCCATTGGGAAATCCTGTTTTAAGATAGTCGGAATGTACTCAAATTAAGATAAAAACCACTCATTTCAAGCAATTATTCCCTCATATGAGATCATTTTTTGCAGTGTACGACTACTTTGATTATTGCAACTACTCCCTCTTGGGCTTTGAATGAAGAGGTTGACAATAGAAGGGAGAAGTTTGGAGTTAGAAATGATTGACTTTTGCTCATATTTTATGCTTTTAACTTTCAAGCAGGAGTGCTGTGAGCCCATCTGCAGAGCTGTGTTTTTTGTGTAGTTGTGTGCGTAAGCGTGTGTGTGTGTGTGTGTGTGTGTACGTGTGTGTGTGTATGGTGTAACAGGTGCAGGCCTCTCTGTTCCTCGTCAGCTGCAGCCAGCGGGTCAGCAGCCATTTTGTCCAGGTTGGGGGTTGTGTCTGTAGATGAAGAGCGTCTCCTCTTTGAAGACATCTGCTCCAGAGTTATTGAAGCTGAAGGAGCAGAGGACAGCTCCAGGTGGAACAGCAGAGTCACTGCCACCTGCGGACGCACGAGTTGTCTCTGTTTAACTTTGCTGCAATTATTTTAACAATAATATGACATCTATTTGATTTGCAACCAACGCTGCCACAATGATGCAGTGTTGGGTCTTAATTCTGTGTAATTGTGTATTTTGGTGTCTCTAGGAATGTTTTTATTTTTTATTTTTCCATTTTTGCCACTGTTTCATAGGTAGATAAGATCCAAATTGTTAAATTAATGTACAGTTACGTATGTTCACATGTCAAAACACATACATGCCCACATCACATTCGCTCTCATATCTCTTACTCAGACTTTATTTTTATTTGTTTTATCTTTATTTGATTTTCAAAGTAACACAGCATTATTATTAATATGTGATCTATAAAAAAAAAATAAAAAATGGACAGATAATAAGCATAATACTGGATGAATGATGATAAGTTTTAACCTATG